TCAAGTTTAAAAAGAAATCAAAACTCTGACCATAATCAGACTGTGTTTTACATCATAAAATTTAATATGCATCAAAACGATAGGTGAAGAGTTCTTATAAAGACCATCGAATGAAGTAATTACGACAAACTCTTGGAATTGCAAACATAATTTGGTAAACCAGGCCCCATACCAAGTCTTAGCATAATAGGAATCTCCGACTAATACATGTTTTTGTGAGGAATAATCATCTCTGATTGGGACGGATCAATCGGGTTCCCTCCGGATCGGTTGAAATTTATATGTCTGGATTACTAGATATTACTTTTATTAATCATTAAGGGTACATTAATAACTCTAACATAGAAAAACAAATAATTTTGATAAGAAAAATCATTGGAAATGTTGTTAGCCTCGTTTTTTTTTTGGTTATGTTAAAGTTTTTATGGATATAGTGAAAACTTATTATATGCCGGTTTCTATTTTAAATAACACATGTTTATAAAGAATCTTAATGTACTTTGAAGTGTACTCTTCATTAATGAGATAGAAAACATATGCTTTATAAGTATATAAAGCTAAAAAAGATAAAATAAGATAGAAGATCTATAGTTTATAAATAATTAATGGTATATTTTAAGAAAAAGACCATTTTAAAGGTAGTTTTTTAAAAAAAAATTGTCTTATAATCTATTTTTTGGTTTTTCAAACATCACAATTTAAAAAAAAAAAAAAAAAAAAAAAAAAAGTGTGACACACAAAATTAGCCTATTATAAAAGTTTTTTTTTATGTGTGTAAAAAAACTTCCATATATACTCTTAACGAATTATGAAAAACATATTTTTCAAAATGTCATTTTGTATTTTACGATTATCTTATTAGGTAGTTTTTTTAACATTATTTTTTATCAAATACTTTTCAACTAGTATATCAAATATAATTTAAAACAATATAATGGTGTTGTCTAAATTAAAAGAAAATATGAATCACCCAAGATGAGGATGAACCTAAAGTAGGATTAAGTTTAGGAATGTAAAAAAGTCCGATAAAACCCCAAACCCGTGGGGGTCCGATCCATAGGAAGAATATTTGATAATAATAAAAAATTCGGGAACGGGGGCGGGAAACAGAGGCAAAGTTAACCTTCATTTGAATTTCAATGGTGGAGACGGGGACAAGCAGTCTTGTCCCGAACCCTCATGAAATCCCCGTTAATATATTATATATTTATATATATTAATTATGTAAATATAATAAATAATAGTCATGATTTTGATTTTCCAAAAGTCAACAAAAAATCATGTTTTTAAGTTGTTACTGTTACATTTTTGAGACCTGATAACATTTTTGTTTTTAAGACATTAAATTATGTTATAAATAACTATTTTTAACCCAAAAAAAAATAGTTTCTTTAAGTCCAAAAAACAATTTCTTTTAGTCCAATATTAAAATATCTCAAAGTCAACTGGTGACAGAAAAACGGTGGCGGGGCAGGGGGTAATCCAAGAATTCGGCGGCGTGGACAGGCTTGGAGAGGTTGGAAATTTCAGGGACGAGGTGGGGGAATGGGAAATTTCGGTGATGGTGATGGGGGATGCAATCTCTGTCTTATTTACCCCCATTGCCATGGATTTTTTTACTTATCTAGACTAATATGTTAATAATCACTAATTATTTGATATTGACAATCTTTATTTTTTTTATGTAACTTATCAAGATATTATATCATAAATGGGATATTTTTTCTACCATCACATAAATTTAAAACCTTAATGGCCTTTCAATTTCCAGTTTTATATAATTAATCTATTAATTTAAAATATGTTATTAAATGCAAAATATTATATTATTATTAATAGATTTTTACAATGATTATTATAATACATTCATTTGTTAATTTAAATAGATCAAAACTACAAAAATTATCTATAGCGTTAGCTGAAAATTATCACTATGGTAAAAAAATGTTTAGACAAGCATCAAATGTCTAAACTTTTCATTTTGTTGTGAATTTAGTCTGATTTATTTTAAACTTTTTTTATTGATGATTTTGCCCTTACTTTTTCTTTTTCAGTTTTTTATGTGTTTAACTAGTTTTCTAAGTAAAAGAAAAATAAAAAAGAAAATTTGTCATTTCAATTTTATTTTTATAATTGTTTTATAACATAAATCAAAAAAGAAAAAAGAAAGTACCCACCCCACCCTCACACACACATTCTTCATCTCTCTCTCTCTCTCTCTCTTTCTCTCTCTCTCTTTCTCTCTCTTAATATAATTCCGTTTTATAAGATCATTGTTGGTATAAAATCATATCAGGCAGTAATATCTCGCTGGAGACACCATCTTCTTAACGTAGCCACTACCCAGTCGACGTAGAACTTGCCACTCAGACGTGATATTAAATCTTCACCATATGCAAACCACTAGAGCACCCCCCCCCCCCTCTTTTGTTTGTTCCTCAAATATAGCTACCAGCAGCATCGTTATTATCCGCTTTTAGACTTGCGATATGGGTAGAGGTAAGTGAGAATGTATCAGTCGTTGTACAAGCACTTCTTCAATAACACTAGGGTTTCTATATATCGTAGCTCGTACCTCGTCGTTGGAGAAGGATAAAGATGAAGCTTGAGGTCGTTGGAGCCACATCAAACCTTATGGTTTCATCGTCACTGTTATGAAGATCTAATTAGGATTTTGTTGTCGCTTCAAATATATCTCTCTTACCGTCGGTTTGAAATCCCTCGTTGTCACTTTTATAAAGATTCATTGCGAAACCCTTGCTATTATAAAGACCTATCTCTCATACCCATCTTTTTCCTACATACACCACCACCACCACCCTCTAATCGCTCAAAAAATCAATCCCAATGGAAATGGTGGGGAGGAAACCCTTAGCAAAACCCTAGCTATTGACACTGCCAATCAAAAACTTCAGTTAAGAACAACTCTTTAACAGATTTGGGAGATAATAAAGAGATAGAGAAAAAGATAGATCGAGTAGGGAAGGGGTGGTCATCGGTGGGTTTTCTAAGAGTGGTATCATCCCGACATAAGTGGATTATAGTGGTTAGAAGTGGTGGTCGTCGTGGTGGAAGAGATTGGTAGCCGATGGTGGTGGTGGTAGATAATGTTGGTAATAAGCGTTTGTTCTTAAATGTGTATAAAAGTGTTCTTAAGTGTTTATGAATATCTGTGTGTATGTTTTAAAGGCTAGAATCGATGAAATGTTTTGAGTTTCTTCTTGAGAGTGAGGGCAGGGTGGGTTTTTTATTTATGTTATAAAAAATAACTAGATTATGACCCGCGTTAATCGTGGGGAACATAAATTAAATACATATTACATTAATAGGTGGTATTATCTTAGGTGAAATTTTAATAAAAAATGTTAGTTAGATTCATTTTTAAACTTTTTGAACCAAACTTATTAAATAAAAATATTTAATATTTATATTAGAGCAAATTGTTTTTTTAATACAATAATTTTTAACAAAAATGATCCACGTGATCTTTGTTTTATCACAACATGATGCGACTTCTTGATTAAAACATGTTGTGTAATAGCTTTATGAATTGACTTTGTCTGGTGTACCAACCTCCATGGAAGCTCACATGACTCTTTTCATATTGGCCCTATAAAACCAAAAGCAATAATAAGTTGTTATACGTACCAACTACATTAAATTTTGCAAAGAAATTCGATAAACATTACAGTTTAAGTGCATTGTCATAACAATAAACATTAAATTCAGATATTTTAATTTGGTAAATTTATAAAGTATTTTTTTCTTATAAGAATTAAAATATGATTTTTTAGGCTACACCCAATCGCATATACATATCTTCTGGTCAAAGAAATTATTACAAGAAAAAAAAACATGGTATGAACAAAAATATAATATTAGTTTCATAATTTGTCAAAGGTTACCACTAATAAATAATAATGAATTTTCACAAATCTTGCATTTTGGTCACTGCATCTAACTAACACATGGAATTCAGTTAAGAGGATTGATTCAAGAAGTGCATCCATGACGTCTTTTAACCAAATTTGTGGAAATGCTAAGACCTACCAAGATATGAAGGAACGGTCTATGAGGCTACAGCTGGTTTCTGGAGCACTACAAGAAAAAGATCCTTTTACGACGTGCAAACCACAAAACTCATTGATTTATGTTACGCAAAAGAGAGTGACACTAAAAAGGTGTAATCTCTTCAGAGAATTTAAGGATTTAGGTCACGCATTATTGCGCGCTCTAAAATTAATGTCATAAGAAAAAAAATTAAAAACACGGAGGGCGCTGTATGTTAAATGCGCGTCCTCTATAAATGTCGCTTTATAATTTTAATGAACAAGCGAAAATGAAATCCCCAAAATTTTAAAAACCCGCCTTGTTCTTTTCTACCTTCTTTCTATCTTTTCATCTTGGAAATCGATTCTCCCCTCTCCTTCCTCTCCGATCCGCTTCACTACCATTGAACCCTAAACAATAATCCACACTTCATGCTTCTGTGATTCTCTCCTCTTCGGCTCTCCAATCTCCGATTTCACTCTAAAAACATCGATTGAACTCCTCGCTTCACCTATTGTCTACCAAACAAATGTTGATTGCAACCACCTTCAAGCACGATGCCTCTCAGCTACACATCCAGAACAAGAACATACATCAATCTTAAACACGCCCCTTAGCTTCTTCATTATTCTCGACGTTGTGTGATTTCTAGGGCTCGAAGCAACCTCCTCTATCTTACATTGTACATCTTTTCCCCCTCCTATAGCTAACCATTTTGGAGCGATTTCTAGGGTTTGAATCAACATTTACCCTTGTGAACAAGTCAGCCTTAAAATCCCCTGGAACGCCTCACATGTTTCCTATCGTTTTAGCCGTGCTTCATTGGCTTGTACAAATTGCAATGTATAACGAGAACCTTGCAAATTCCACCCAGTCACAGTCGATTTCTGGCGATAACATGGTCATCTATACTCTAAATACTTACCTGCTTTAAATAAGGGGAGACGACGATGCAATGGAAAGGGAAGTTACACCACGACCGACAACAATATGGCCCTGTATGTCTGTTTAAGTTATTTCTCTAATTTATTGATGGTCTTTTTCTGTTGAATTTAATAAAAAAAAATAAAAAAATGCAAGAGAAGCGAAAGGAGGAGTTCAGAGAGAGAGAGAGAGAGAGAGAGAGTAGGCGCTGGAGATCAAATTGAGAGGCAAAAGGAGGGGTTCGGATTCAGATGGAGATTCACTTTTTTGCATTCCATTTCATACCCGTCTCTCCAAAAATCGTTTTTTGGAGCCAATTGTTATAGGGATCGAATCCCAGGTATGTTGTCGTTAATTAATTTTCCCTTCTGATTAAACTTGATTTATCTCTTGTTATTAATTAACTTAACCTCTATTTATAATCTCTCTAATTCTTAAGATCTTCTTCTAAATTAATTACGTTTTAGAGTATAGAAGATGATTTTACGTCTGATTTGATGTTCATTCAAGCCAATAGAGAATTAAGACGATAAACAAAGACATTTTTATCATTTTAGTTTTGTTTGAACATTGACATTCTTTTAGACGTACAAGATAAGGGTTTATTGATTATTTGGTTTATGCTATTGATATCTATGTTTTTGGTGGTGATTTTACTGAAGAAACTTGAATCTGCTGAGAAATCTTGGAAAGAACTATCCTGATAAGAGATACTTTTCAGGATTTTAGGTTCTAATTTTGATTTTTCTTGATGTTCTTAATCTGGGTTTTGGTTCTACTTTACTTTTTTTCCAAGACAAGGCAGTCTAACAGTAACATTACAATATATTTATAGGATGAGGATGTATGCCTGCTAACTGCTCGACTAAATTCCACAGAGATTGATGATATTTCAGTGTTATTGGAGAATGGTAAAAACGTGAGCCTCTAGGCTTTGAATTATAAGGAATGGATAGACTGAGAAAGGTATTTGTATGATGATAAAACTGGATTGCTAACATTAAATCATATACAACAATCAGGTTGTTTAGAATTTTCTTAAGAACACTAAAGAAAGTGAGAATCTTGGATTCGACATTGCTAATATTGATTTCCGGCTTGAAAATTTTAAAGATTTGGTTGATGTCATAAGAAATTATAACAATGGAAGTAGTAACGATTACTGGAGGTAATAATTAATAAATATAAACTAAACTTCATTTCTTTAATTCACTTCTTAAAAACAAAATCTCTAATTTTTGAACTTTTAAAAATTTTAATATATGTAGGCAGCCTGCTTTATATAAAGCATCACCAGACAGCTCTGAGTATTGCACAGAGTCAAGTAATATTGTTGGTGATGTAAATATCATAACATCTGAAGAGGGAACCTATCAAAGTACAGGTGCTCCTCATCAACCTATTTCCTCATTTCAGAATACAGGGTCCTATCCTGGGCCTGCAATTTATTCAACAACTTATTACAAATCCTGGTGATTATCAGACATCTGGTGGTTACCCAACTGCAAATTACAATACTCAGACAAATTCATGGATTCAAGGTAGCCATCCAAGTTACGCTCATCAATATCCAAATTACACTATTGATTCTAATGTTGCTATAAGAAATCTGGTGAGTAACTTATTTGTTTTATTATTTTTCACTTTTGAATTTGCATTTATTTATTTATTTTGCAGTACTTACAACAACAACCTTAGCAAAATCAATGGTGGCTAGGGAAGGTCCTATAGCCATGGCTGCTCATCAGATATGTTTGCAAGTTTGGTTGGCTGTTTCTCTTATTACAGATGTATTGGCAGCATCTGGTAAGGTATAAATTGACCAAATGTTGACTTAACAAATAGTTTAAGGAAAATGTTTGACTATTTGTCAGATAGTTGACTTAACCATTTTTTTGTTTTGTTTTAGGTGTTGATTGCTAGTTCGGTTTCAGAAGGGGATTATAGATCCGTGAAGGATATCACATACTTCGTGTTGATTGTAATGTTAATTAATAATTATTCTCTTTATATATAGATGCAAACAGCCATACATAAAGTTTCTGTGACTTGGACCATATACGTCAATTTGTTAACCAAATCGAGACAAAATATATTAGCTTTATGAATAATCATATATATAATTTTTATTTTATTTTTCTTCAAAATTTACACATTTTCTGTTCCCACATATTTTATAGAATTGTACATTTTTGTAGGAAATTATAACAATGGAGGGATTGAGTACAATGGAGATGGTGGGTGGGAAGATGGGCAAGGATATGGTGGTGGATGGGATGACGGGCGTGGTTTTGGTGGAAGAGGGCGGGGACGAGGAAGAGGTCGTGGCGGTTACCGTGGACGTGGTGGTGGTGGTGGTTACCGTGGTGGTGCCAAGAGAATAAATTCACTTCAGGGTTTTTTGAGGGCAGTGAGAGTAATTCTCTTGTTGATGCTTATGAATTGAAGGTAAAAATATCAGCATTTCCATATTAACAAGAAGCATCTGAATTATTATTATTAACTTTGTTTGTGCAACTTACAGCTTAGGCTTGAGCATATTCTTGAGAGGATATGATTAATATATGATGCTGGAAACACAGAAAAATCTTCACTGATCACAAATACCCTATTCATTGGAGGGGCACTAGCTACAAGATCTGTATAAACACTGCAACATTTAGGGATTACACATATATATTGTGTTTGTGTTCTAATGAAATCGGGCAGGCTGAATCTCAATGGGCAGATTTGTTTGAGTATTAAAACTTTTCTGTAAGTGATTAATTAATCTTTCCTTTTTTTATTTAATAAAAAACGGGTTGTGATGATGAACATGAACATATAGGTGATGAAGAAGAAGCAGACATCAGTCAGATCTTTGAAGAAGCTTATCAATTTATTGAAGTTGTTGAACAAAAAGGTGAGCTCTATTTTATTTTATTTTGTTTTATTTTTTATTGTTTTTATTTAATATGTTAAGAGTTAATATATTATTAAACAAATCTTTTTCGAAGGGTAACAAGGTCATTTATGTTTCCATTTGTATTCCTTTCTTCTTACTCTTCCCTCGCAAGCATGTCTTAGTCGTTGGTTACCCATTTAGACATTATATATGACAATGCTTATTATTGGTTAGGTGTCTGAGCCGGAATCTCAAATCAAGGTTGGATAATGATGAATTGAGCCCTGAACAAGTCAATGATATTAAGGACTTCATTGATGACTACATGGAACGAAAATCAGGTCATCATATACTTTTTTCCTTTTCACATTTACTCAATAGTTTCTTTGAGGTTCTCTCCACTATACCACCTTGTCAAATTCAGGATAAAAGAATCTTGTGGTTTTCACTTTTCACAAAGCATCTAAAAGTAAAACCACCACAAACCATTTCATCTGCAGGAGGATTTTGATGAGTTTAAGGATGTTGATATGTTATACAACACCTTATCACTAGACAAAGTAAAAGCTCTAGAAGATCTTGTTATAATGCAGCCCTTGGTCATGTGTTTGTATATCACTGGTCATGTGTTTGGGTGAAGGTCTGGATGGTGATCTGAATGGTGCATGCATTATAACCCATGTTAGCAATGTATTATTTTTGTTTAACATTTGAATGATTATTTGTATGGCATTATAATTTGTGCAATTTATTTTATTTTTTGAGTATGAAATTTAATTTTATATTATGCAATGGATTGTATTTTTTGTATATGGTATTTTATTTATATTATGAGAAATTAAATGCAAATTTAATTTAAAAATTAATAAATATATAATTTTTTTAAGCATTTAAATTTACGATACGCAAAAATGTGAGTCATCTTCATTTATGACATGGCTTCTCTTGACAGGGGCTTTCTTGATACACATTGCATGTCATTAACACGTGCGTCGTAAGGTTACGACACGCGAATGCGTGTCGTCTTCTTTTATGACAGGGTCTTCCTTGATACGCATTGCGTGTCGTAAACGCGCGTCGTAATTGCGCGTCGTAAATGAGCATCGTAAATGCGCATCGTCTCTCTTTATGACAGGGTCTTCATTGATGCGCATTTGCGCGTCGTCTAAGCCTTTTACGACGCACAATGAGCATCGTAAAAGGCTGTTTTTCTAGTAGTGGAGGGCAATACAAATTCAAAATCGTCAGCACATATCTTTCCTACCTACTTTAATTATTAAACTTATATCAAACTTGTCAAAATCAAATTACAAGAAAACCCAGATATATATAACCTAGCAATCAAAGAAGATATTTTTCTTAGAAATAAATATCACAAATCCATAATTTATACTTTATATAATATTCTGAAATAATATCTTACATTTTCATATTTAATGGTTACTAAGACCTCTTTCTGCATTATTGTTGTGACACACATGTATATAAAAAATAAGAGAAAGAACTTTAGAGAATGAATGTTGATAGAGTGATCCTTCATTGAAAACGCAGCAAAATTATTCATAGAGCCGCTAGGATTCTTCTATAGACCGCTAGAAGATCTGTATAGTGACAACCGGTGTGACTTCTCTGAGAACGCACCATTTGAAGTAACAGTTTTGATTAATGTAAGTGAAAAATCATTTGGAATGCTTACCAATTGTGATTGCTTCTACTTGAATGTGAAAATTAACATTCTTGTAGAGAAATAGAACTTCAAATGAACCCTACATAGCCAAATTAATAAACATGACAACACAAAAAGAAGCTTAAATTGATATATAACCAATTAGGTTTTGTTGAACAATTTTTTCAATTTATCAAAATCTTATTTTATTACAAACCTATATGAGTAATCAATAATTGTAAGCAAGTGAAACAAGTAATTGTCATTTTAAAGCTAGTAAAAAAAATACAATATTGTGAAATTGCTTATAATTTGCATGTTTGCTTATTGTCTTGGAGGTACCCAACCACTTCGACATGTATTATTATTTGATTAATTAGTGCATTAATTACATTATAGAATATGAAATTTAACAATTGTTCAAATTCATTTACACTTGATTTATTAATAGAAAATTGACAAATTTATAGTCATAAAAGTATGCTTAATTCAACAATTTTTATCAAAATTAAAAGAAATCCGAGTTTCTTGAAGAAACAAAGAATTGAGCAAAGAACATTTGAAGATCATGTCAGAAAGGTATGAAAAATATGATCTTTTTGGCACTTTTCAATATAGTCATCGTTAATATTTTCTCATCTTCAAGATGATAAGTACAAGTGAGCAGAGAAAACAATATTGTAAGCATAAAAATATGCTTAATTCAACAAATTTGTTATCAAAGTTAATGGAAAATATTTTTTTTTCTAAATACTCAATTATTAAGTACGTAGTATATTACCACTAAGGTATTTAGAGTTTTGCATCATCCTCAAGTTTCAATACAAACATCAACTATTGTCCATCACTTTCCAATAAATTTCTCTGCAATTTAAACTTAATTATAGTAAATATAATCAATAACATTATAAAAAAAGGGTAAGTTTAAGAATAAATACATATAATTATTGAGTTAGATAGTTGGAAATTGAGCAATTGTAATTTAACATGTATCAAACCGATTATTGCTTTCAAAACTTGAGGTGTTTACTATGTTAATAAGATTTAATTTCAAGATGACTGTTTTTCCCTTGATGAATTTTGGTACCATCGATCTACACTGAGAAAGAAATAGAATAATTATAAAGATATATCACGTTGATTTGCAAATATATAGGATGACCAATGCATACATTATAGCTTTAAATTTGGAGATGATTTGAAGTTTGAAATTTGAATTTTATTTTAGGGATAAAGGAAATTGGTGAAGGTTTGAGCGGAAACATTAATAAACAACGTGTTTGACCAAACGTTGGTCAATATGATATAAGCAATTTGATCTAAGGGTGGAAAATGTATAAGTGAAACATAATCAAAAGTCTTTATAGGTTTAGATGATAGAATAAAGTTTCTCTTTTAGACATATATCAATTTTCTATTTAGTAAATGTAAACGTCTTAGTTTTCGTCTCTCTCTAACATCATTGTATTGAGTTTTATTATTTAAATCTATAAAATTGTATGATATCATTAATATCTAAAAATAATAATATTTCAATGGTAAATATTACTAATAAATTTATAAATAATTTCACAAGAAATATAAATAATTGTTTTATAACGAATTAAAAGATTTATAAAATTTTACAATTTCCTAAAAAGTGATAGTTTTCTAATATTTATATTGAGGTTGTCATGAATAACATTATAACAATGTTGAAATATTCACATTCAAACGAAATAATAGAGTAAAATATGATTAAATTTCTAAATTTATCTGAGTTTAAACCTAAAAAGAAAATAGATGAATAATTCAACATTTCACAAAACCCAAAATATATTCAACTGATCAAAATTCTAACCCAAAAATGAATAGTATGAAATAAAATCATCAAAAATCAAACCCCAAAACCAAATAGTATGTAAACAAAATATGAAATGAATAATATTCAAATCACTCAACTACTCAAACAAAATCATGAAAATCATATATTATTTATCTTGCTTTGGAATTAACAATTTTGGCTTATCTTCTCTAGAAGTACGATTTGTCATTGATGTTGATGGTCGTTTGTTTGAGGATATGGTTGTCAGATTATCAACATCGTAAACATCTTATCGGTGACGTTTTAATTCTCATGTCCATACATTTTTTAAAGGATGTCCACTT